CTCAGGGAGAAAGTAATTGTTTCAGTTGTTTATCTCCCACTAATTATATCAACTTTATATATATTTCATGCTAATAGAACAGCCCCTTGGCAGACTGTTGGTGTTGACATAGAAGGAGATGCAAGAGTGAAACAAATGTTGATAATGATGGCTCAGCTCCATCACGTTTCCCTTGAAGCCATGCCAGTTTGTCATCTTGCATAAAACTAGAACGCTGTTGCTCACTCAGCCAAAACCCACTGGGGTCAGACTAGATGTCACTTGTAAGCTAACTCACGTATCAGTATTTTGTAGCCTACACATGCAGATTCATTCTACCTTTATTTACATAGGTTAGTTCCCACTGAGCCTCAAGGACTTACCTGTATTTACAAGCGAGACTTGTTATAGACCTGCTATAGATCTGTTATATGCAAATGGTTAATGTGACATTTTTATTAACATCAGCAATTTTGGCTGGATTCTTCATTCTGAACACAAACATATGCAATATGTTGTCATTGAATTATTTGTTTGTATCTTTTATGTTTCACTGGGAAAGACCATAGATGTTTTGTCATATTTTAATTCATTTTAAAGGTGAAGACGGCTAATAGAGTTGGCTAACTCTGAAAAGTGAGGTGCTGAAAATGTGATTTTTTTTGTCAGCAGAGCAATAAATGCCACTGTTTTATTAGCCTTTTGTTATATAACAGCTCACATGCAGGTCTTTCTTTTAAATCGTCCCAGTCTAACAAGAGGAACATATAAAATGGACATATACTGTATATAACACTTTGTTTTGTTTGTAAGTACACATGGTCATATTTGCATTTCTTACACCGCACAATTTTCTAAAACAAATTTTCTGTGGGATGTGTACCGGTAGTTTTGTGTGTTTTAGTGACTAGGTGGGAATCATCAAATGGAAGCAATATGAAGCTTTGACAAAAACTGATTAAAGTTAAAGGTCACCCATACTTCAGTGCTGTAAATTTGGGACCAGTTGTTGTGGTGCTGTGGTTTTTAAACTCTGATAGTATTTTGTTAAGGTTTGAAGGAGTCTGTTATCTTTCCTGGATTGTATTACTTCAGTTTTACTTTTCTACGATCTATTTTAACAGACCTGTGTCAGTGTTTCTTCATACAGGAGGAAATATTCTTGGTGCAGCCTGCTAAGTTTTAAGTGTTTAGATAAAAGCACCTAATATCAAAGAATACGTTTGCTCATGGGTCCTCCTTATTGCAGCTTCTACTCATTGTGTCAGCACCTTTTAAAGCAGCCAATACAGCACATCCTGTTTGTAATAACCCTTAATTAAACAGCTTTTGTGTAAATGGAAAATTAAACAGCAAATATATTTTCTCATAATAACTAGTAGTGTTAACTTGATGCTTTGCTGGGGTTTTCTGTATTTCAGTGAAATTGAATTAGATGAAGATGCAGCAGAATTGTTAACTCAAGTTTTGTGGGTGGTCCTTCTTTCAGTATCCCTGTAGACAGGTTGCATTACAAAATACAAGTGGTACTTATGGGGTATGTACCAGTATGAGCAGGATTTATGGGGACTACAGGTTATATTATGAAATTACTTGTTAGACTGTAGTTACAGGGTACATACCTCAGACTTACAATCTCAGTACATACAGTACTTGCTAGTTACACTATTGCTACGTGCCCTGTAAGTACCAGTTATTTACCCAGTAAGTACTGGACTGTATTGTGAATTGCTATCTTGAAGTTTCATCCATCCATTATCTTTAGCCACTTCTTCTTTTCCTGATTGCGGGCCCTGCAAGTTTTATATGTCAAAATTAAAGCATTCCTGTACAACATCAGTATTTAAAAAAATACTTAAAACAGAAGAGCTTCTATTTAAAATATTAACACTTGGGTTTATCAAAACATTTAACTAAACCTTAGGCTTTATGGGTCATTTTGACCAAGGGACAGTAGGGCTGTTGAAAAAAGTTTTGTTCATCCATCCATCTATCATCTGCTTTCATCTATGATTGCGTCATAAAGGCAACCGGTCCAAGAGAGGACTTGGACCAGTTGCCTTTGGACTGGTTAATTTTACAGCCCCTCTTAGGGGGAGATATTCCCAGGTCTGAGAGGATATAAAATCCCTCCCGCAAATTCTGGCTCTGCCCAGGGTCTCCTTGTGTGGGAACCATGGCCTTCGACCTAAAGGAGCAGACTATCATCCCAGCTTCTTCACAGTCTGCATTGAACTGTCCCAGTGCATGCTGAAGGTCATTCAAGACTTGCTCTTCTTAAAGGCGGACACCTTTCTCTTCCTCTCCCTCTCCGCTTTGCTTTGCTCTGTCCTGTCTGTGAAGCTGCTTACAGCCTCTCTTTTACAAATCTTCCAAATCTTAATTCTGCTATGGATTTGGCCAGTTGGTTCCTCAACACAATTGATAACATTTCTTCAAAGAGAAGACAGGCTTTAGGTGAGCCGATTTGCCCTATTGGCACGCACGCAGCTGGATATCTTATCGACGTGGAATACTTGATGATATGTCTATCTCTGCTGTCATTCTTGGATTTTAAGGATGCACATATAATTGGATTTATGATAACTGGTTTCCTGCTTTTTGGATTTGTCTGGTTCCTGGTTTATCTACAATCAAGGAAGTCACCAGCATGCTGGTGAAGATTCTCAGTCATCCAGGACATGATGAATTCAAAAAACGTTCAATACAAAAACAACTGGACTTTATTTGTAACAGAAGACGTTTCGCTCCTCATACGAGGAGCTTTCTCAATTCGAAGAGTGGTGAGTGAGAGATTCAGGTTATAAGGCTGAGTGAGATAAGACACACACGTATGTAGATTGGCAATTCACACCTAAACACCTTAACAGTAGGGGTTTCTAAAGTCTTTGTTACTCTAATTCACGGACGAGGCCCCTCTGTTCCCATCAGGTGTGAAAACCAGTTGGAAATCTGTCTTAAGGTTGCATTATATGATTTTGAAAGTGGAAATCTGAGGCCTCCTCCTCTGTTAAGAGACGGCTTTTCTCTTTTTACATAAATTGCTTCCTTCACCCCCTCTCAAACCATCTGTGTTCTCGATCCAAAATGTGCACATTTTGGTCCTCAAAAGAGTGTCCCTTATCTGTGAGGTGGAGGTGAACAGCTGAATCTTGTCCTGAGGAAGTAGCTCTCCTGAGTCACCAGCAGCAAATTTAGACCTGGTCAGGCTGCTTGCCTTATATGATGGCTTGGTTCGTGCCTCGAGCACCCAGACTCAAATGCTTTTGGCAGGATGGATCAGATCTCGATTACTCTCAGGTATAGCCCATTAGTGTGGCCATTTAATTTGGACGTTTCAGAACCGAGTAGACTGACACAGACTCAAGGTAGATGTTAGTAAAAGTTCTGCCTGTCCCCAAAACAATCATGTTTATCTGAATTCAGCTCCCTGACTAGCCTTGACAGACCATATTATCTTAATTCACCTGGAAGTTTTGTAAATCTGATGCTTTGCCCCTCCCTCCCCTCCTACCAAGGAAGTCTATGGACCAATCAGAGGGGCCCAGCTGAATAAACATTTTGTCATCATTTCAGGACTCTTTGGATTCGTCCTTGGCTGTCCTCGACACCCTCGAGAGTGTACGGATCTCTCCAGAGTAAACTATTTAAACTGAACGATTTTATCTGAACTCTGCGGTGCCTCTGTGTGTTGTTTCTGAACATGCTCACCACCCTTGCGTCCCCCACACACACACACACACACACACGCGTGCACGGAATGTCAGCATCATTATGTGCTTGTTGTGCAAGGTTTTTTTTTCTTCCATTATCATGCTGTTAACCTTCAGCCAAACATTAAGAGCATGTTTGGAATTTTTTCGTCTTCAAAACTTGTCTCATTTTTCACCACTTTTTTATTGTCTGTCCAAACAGATCTCACTTGTAAATGAGTCTTCGATGCTCAATATGATCTATCTGTTTAAATAAAAGTTGAATGAATTAATTAATTCCTGAAGAAGCTAACAGAACCACATCATCTGCAAAAAGCAAAACTGAGACCCTGAGATTACCAAGCCAGACGCCCTCCTCTCCACGACTGCACCTTGACAGTCTGTCCTTGAACACTACAGACAGAATCAGACAATCTGCACCAAGAACAAGCTCCACTTTGTGCCAAGAATGCAGACACAGCTCCTGCTTGGTTATACAGGGACCAGATAGTCCCTTAAAAGTGACTAATTTTTATACCCACTTGAAATGTAAATGAATGATCTGATTATTTGGATTACTCTGAGAGAAATGTAATTTTTTTAAATATATCAGACAGCTATTAGTCAATCACCTGATTACCTCATACTTGTTTAGTTAAAGATGCTTATAGCACAGCAGTACTAAACTGTTTTCCATAAACCAGATTGCCTCAAGTACACAAATAACATTTATATATCTTTATTTAAATACCTTTTAAACCTTTTCTTTATAAAAATTTTTAGCCTGCTATTGGCCTGAGAGACCAGGTCCCTTTGATCCCAGGTCCACCTCTGCTGTCCAGACTCCCATCTCTCTGGTTTCCCCCATCACTTCTCGTCCTCTTTGTCTTGGACTCTTGTGAATCATTTGTATGAATTACCATTGATGTACTTGAGTGGTGAGCAGACACTGGCGTGAGGAAAGAGAAGATAGGACCTTGAGTGAAGCAAATGCCCTCATCCATCATCCCAATGTAGAGCTTTCAGTGGAGCCGTGGTCTGCAGCAGGCAAACACCCAGGGAGAGGACGGACCGAGCCAATTTGTTTTCTCACCTTTTTTGTTTATTTAAATGTTTTTGAAGTTGATTAAATTACTACAACTTTTGCCTTTTTTATTCTAACATCTTAAGATGGTGAACACGGTTGCCATCCTGATTAGCAGGAAAAAAAAAACATGGTAGATAATGGTATTTTTTGTATATTTGTACTCTTGTGTTATAAAAACCTCTGATTTGAGCCTTTTCTGAACTTCTGCCTGTTTTTTTTTTTTTGTTTGTTTGTTTTTACAGGTGGCGTATCTTAGACTGTGAGGATGGAGGAGAAAACCACCCTGTCCCAAATTGCTTGTTGCTCTTGAAAGCAACCTTTTCAGCCATCCAAATACTTTGTTCCCAAGAACAGAAATTTGTGGAAGAACATAATAATGTGGCTGCCATTTTTTATATATTTTTTACTTATCTTTGTATACACAGCTTGTAAAATTGTATTTGTACCAGTGCACATTTTTTTTCCCCAGCCTCGAGCCCCATCATACTTGTCTTTGTGTCTATTTTGTTTGACACCATTACATTTAAGGTTTAATTGACCAGAGTATATTTGAAATGAAGGGAAGGCAGATTTGGACCAGCTTTTTATTAATAAATATTATTTATCACCACATTGTTTTGAAATGGTAAATGGTCTGCATTTAAGCACTTTACAACACAATCTATGCCCTTATTTACTCTTCCACACACTCAACCATACAGGACTCTACTCCATTTCTACTGAGATCATCTGAATAAATCATTCTATAGAGACTAATCAGAGCTGTAGATCACATTCATACACTGATGGGGCACATCAGTGGCAAAGTTGGGTATCCTGCCCAGGGACTTTTCCCCACATGTACTGAACTGGTGGGATGGAACCTCTAGCTTTTTCCTTGTAAGATGACTGCTCTAACCACTGATCCACAGCTGCCCAACCATAACAATTATGTGAGCCACAGCAAACCTGGATGTGTCTTCTGTCAGGAGAGCTCCTGTGCAGGTGTCAAAATACAGTTCTAGAGCGCTGGAGATGGGTTTGAGATGCAACAACTTCATCCATCTATTATCTTTATCCTCTTCCTTTCTGGATTGCGGGGGTCACTGCCGTCCATATCCAGCTATCACTGTGTGAAAGGCGGGGGACACCCTGGACAGGTCTCCAGTCCATCACAGCGACACACGGAGACAAATGAGACAATCAACCATTCACTCTCTCACTCACACCTAGGGACAATTTAGAGTTACCAATCAGCCTAACATGCATGTTTTTGATCTGTGGAAGGAAACCACCACCAGAAATGTCCATGGCAACATTTCAACATTGCTCGATCCAGCAACCTTCTTGCTGAGTGGTGGCATCCAGCAGCCACTCACAAGTCAAAACTTCAATATTTAAGCAACAAGACTGAGTGTCTGCCACTCATTTGAGGAAATTAACATCTCTTGTGAATCTTTCAAGACATTCTGGGGACTCCTTGAAAGCTTCGTCCAGTGAAATACAACTTTTTAGTTCAAACCGTCACTGAGTTGCCAGCATGATTGTTGATCTGCCTTGTTTCTATGCAAAACAAGATGCATTTAATTTTAAAACCGTTTTGTGATGCTTAGATCAGTAAATCATGATGAGGCCACTTGTTTACCAGCAAAACTAGCCATAGAGTCCAACCAGCCCGTGAAGTAAATGGTCTGTAAGAGCTCCACTTCATGCTCTTGTGAACACAACATCCAGTCTGAACAGGCTATCTTTGAAAAGCAGCGCAGCATAATATCTGCCTGCACGTCTATTTTTACAAGCTCCTGGTTGGAATGAGGGGGAAACATCTCGTTCCGACAGCATGCCTGGATCTGCTGAATGCTGATGCAGCAAGTGACAATTACTTTTAAAAATACAAAGAGGTATTGCACCCACTGAGGCGGTGAAGCAGAGAGTGAATTGGCTAATTAAATACATCTAACACCGAACCGTCAGGGGTTTCTCATTTCCTCTCGGCCCTCTCTCCACAAGTGCAAATGAAGTAGGCTCTAAATAACCCATTTGTTTCAAGCCTGCTGAGCAGAAGGAGTGACGCCACATTTACTGGCTGCTGCTGCTGTTTTGAACACTCTGACAGTCACCCTGAGGGCATGAGGAGTTGCAGGCTCGCTTTGTCTTTTTCCTTTTTATGATGGGCACTAAAAGTGTCAAAAGTTTTTGCCCACTACCGTCTGCTGACATGGTGCAACTCATTAGCTTTTTCACACACTGCTCTCGTGAAAAATATCAGGCTGAGTAAAGGTCTACTACATTTTCTGCCTAACTAATTACTTGTCCATGGTTGGAGGACAGTTTTTGCTTGCCCTTCTTTTATACTGTGTATAAATCTAATGTGTTAAAGCAGCAGAATGGTAATAAACCACTACTTTGTTGTGTTCCAATTTAATTTCAAATATTTTCCCCAAAAATTCTTCAATAAGATTGTTTTCAAACGTGACAATACCAAGTTTCAAAACCAAAGTTCAAATATTAATGAATACAGGTTCACCACTTCATATTCAATGGCTCTTAATAAAGTGAATAAGCAAGTAACTTGCTTTTTGGCAACACTTCATTTATCCAGTTAGCAATGGCAAGCTAGCAGGCTAATGCTAGTTGAACATAACTTTCAGTTTGCTACAGTAGATGGTTTAAAGCAGGGGTTCCCAACCCTGGTCCTTGAGGAACACCATCATGCATGTTTTAGTTGTTTCTCTGCACTGACACACCTGATTTTAATTAATGGGTGATTAATAGACTTCTGCAGATCATGAAGTAATTAAATCCCTGAATCAGGTGTATTGGAGCAGGGAAACGACTAAAACATGCAGGATGGTGTTCCACAAGGACCAGGGTTGGGAACCCGCTGGTTTCAAATGTTTTAGTGAAAGTGTTTTGAATAATTCACATTTTATTTGATGTAGCTATCTCCTTGAACTGCCTCAGTTTGGAAAATAGTTTTATTCTGGGAGGATCTATGAGCTAACAGCTAGCATGAGTAGGACTAATACCAAAGTAGATTTGCTGCCATTTTAAAACGATCCCAGTCTCAAAAAGTTATTTTAAAAAAGGTAGATGAATGCTATCAGATTTACATAATGGTTAAAGTAGCAGTTTGTGTCATGCATATTGTGCATGTGCATATTTTTTTTTTCCAAATTTGTGTATTCTGCTTCTTTGATTATTTCATATGGCTTTTTTTCCTGTACACAGTAATTAGAACATGCTACTGGATGCCTCAAATTTCCCCTCGGGGATTAATAAAGTCAGTCTGTCTCAAACTATCTGTTAGGCAAAACTGACTGTATAGTATAAGTTTATAAAATGTTCACATAAATCAAACTTTTGAGATAGTTTTAAAATGTTAACAATGAGCTTTGGTCTTACCTCGATCACTAGCAATTAGCTCATCAATCCTGTCAGAATTGAACTTTTGTTTGTTTATTTAATTAAAATATAAATCTGCTCAACATTAGGTAACCAAACTTTTTCCACAGAGCCCCACTTCATTTGGACTGAACCATAATTGGATGCTGACTCATCAAGTATGGAATCAATCTAGATGAAAAGTAAAGTATTAGATCTGAATAAAAACGTTGGATATTAAAAAGCAACAAATCACTACCGAAATAAAATTTGTTGAACTCCAAAGTAGAACTTCTGGACCATCTGGAAACTCCTCTGCCATATCTGTTGGGAAAACAAAAGCAACTTCGAAGTGTACAGTATCTAGAAAAAGTTTTTTTTTTTTTTTTTTTTTTTTTTGCAAAAACAAATGTGCATGAAACACAAATAGTTTTGCTTGCAGTCTTTTGTTAATATTAAGCAGAGGTATTTGAAGAGCTTTATGTTTGTAAGCACAGTAATACCACTCCAAATACTACTAGCACTAGTATGTAATACTATTATTTCTAGTATAATAATAATAATGTCATCACAATGTCAGCACTGTATGTTTCCATACAATGGCAAAATTAGTCTCTGCATTTAACCCATCCACCACCAGGTGGTGCAGTGGGCAGCTATTGAAAGCGCCCGGGGGACATTATGGGGATGAGACGTGCTGCCCAGAGACGCCACGTGATGTGCAGTGACTGGGGATCGAACCTGGGACTTTCGGGACCCAAGCCGGCTGCCCTGCCTCTACACCATCTCGGCAGTATTCAACTATTAGTACTAGTAATAGTACTGATACTAAAAGTCCTAGGACTAGTAATTGAATAAAATAAAACAATAAATTAATGCAGAAATGGCAACTCACATGCTGTAGCCACTCAAAGTTTAATATTTCAAAAACCACAAATGATACAAGAACCAAAAGTCATATCAATCATCTCCTGCTTGCTCTTAACAATTAGCAGTGTGAATGGTTTCAATAGGATAAACTTTGCAGTAGTACATAAGTTGCAAAAAATGGCAGGGGAGATGAAAAGATTTCAAGCATGTACATTTCATGCACACTAATCAGCAGGTTAAAAAAAACGCACATCTATAAAAGACAGAAATTACTTTCATATTTATAAACAGGGAACCTCAGAAACTAGTCTATATGGATCAGCACATTTGTTTTTTCAGCTTATCTAAAATCCTATGTGGGGACGTAAAAAAGATGCTGACTGGTTGGAAATTTTGTGTTACGATTGAATAATCCAGTTATGTAAGATTTTGTCTTGAACCCATTCATCAGGAAATCATGTTGCAAATTTAAAAAGTACAGTTTTGGAAAGGCAAAAACCCAGTAAACATGTAAGGTATGCCCAAATTGTATTTTATTTATTTACATTAAAAGTGTAAAAGCTCACCTGGTAGAGGCATTGATAAAATGTTGGGGGCTCATCTGAAAATTATTGTCTCCAACAAATGGTGTGGTAAGTTTCTCCAAGAATTACCAGAACATGGCACCAATAAACCCAAACCTTTTGGTACACAGTACGTCCAGTATTGGTCTTACTCCGGAGGATAACTCCATTGAATGTTTGTGCAATTTAAAAAATAATAAAAAATTCATGTTTGATAATTCAGTCTCAACCCAACTAATTGAGTCTGGAGACTGCTGTTAGTCTGTCTAATAAATTTGTTGTTCAACAAAGTTAAGTCAGATATTCTGGACAGTTTCTTTGTGTTGACATATTTTGTCTTTCATCCAAAGGACTTCATCAGTCCGAGGAGCCACAACAAACTCAGTCCCATAAGCAGCACACTTGCATAGTGGGCCAACCAGTTTGATAATGATAAGATGATTTCTGGAGTCCGCCCTCTCCCCCGTCAACTCCTCTGAGGTAGCCATGGCCAAAGTGGTTCAAAACATCAAAGTTCATGCTCAATAATCCAGGTAGAAAATCCAACAAAGTTAACCTGACAACTTTGTTGTTAAATAAACAAGTATCCATCCATCATCATCGGCTTGTTCTGAAGTCTGGTCATGGGGGCAGCAGCTTGAGCAGGCAGGTTCAGACATCTCTTTCCACAGCCACCTCTTCCAGTTCTTCTCGGAGGACTCCAAGGCGTTCCCAGGCCAACTGAGAGACATAGTCTCTCCAACGTGTCCTGGGTCTTCCCCGGGGTCTCCTCCCAGTTAGACATGTCCAAAGCACCTCCCACCTGCCATGGGAG